CACACACACACACACACACACACACACAGACACGCACCACACACACACACACACACATTCACTCACACACACACACACACACACCACACACATACACACACCCAAATGTCATGATGGGTCATGGTGAAACTAAGCCATCACTAGGCTTAAAAAGTAATAAAATTAATTTTGATGAAAGATTCACCCAGAGACTGGGGGGTTATGTCATGATGTCCGAGACTTTAGGAAGAGGGTGTTTAAGGGCACACTAGCTGCTCAATATAACCAAAGTGTTCAGGGTGAAGAGTGCATTTGTTGAAATAAAATAGGATGAGAAATGATCTAAGATTACTTTTAGGTATTTAAAATGATAATAGGGCTTAATCCATTTTGGTGCACAAAATTATGGTAAAACTGGTAAACGGTTTAAACACGTCTCACACATGTAGTGCGAGTATTAGTGTGGGGGGGGTGCTGATTCATTATCCTGGCTTCCTGGTGACATGTAGGCCGCTTCAGCCGCTGTGAGGTCAGCACCATGGGCGTCGGCATGCCGGGTGAAGAGAAAGCGACGCCCATCATTCCAGTGAAGCCGCGATTTATCGAGGGCTGTCAGCCTCGCCAGCCGGGGTGTATAACGAGCATCTCTCTGGCCCACATGCGGACCTTGCTACACCCGCGCCCTTCTCACAATCCCCTGCCGGTTCGGGGAGCATGTCGGGCCGTCCCTGTGTCGTGGCAGAGGCCCGAGCCTCATCCCGTGCTCCTTATAGTTACAGTAGGGCGCACTGGCTTAGCCGCCTGTGACATACACTCGGGAAGCTTGTAGGACAGAACCTCCGCCCGCTCGATTGAGACGTCAGGCTGTATCTGCGTTTTCTGTAGGCTCTGAGTCCCACGTGACTGCCAGAGCGCAGGGAATCGGGCACGAAGGGTGCAGAGGAGGCAGATTTCGGGAGACCGCACATCTTCAGATTCAGGTGTTACTGTTCCATCCATCCATCCAACCATCCATCCTAGTCAGGATCACAGAACAGCCTGGAGTCCATCACAGGCAGCACAGGGTCTGAGGCTGGCATAGTTGTAACGGGGAGGGTGCTGCTGTTGATCCTGTTTCAGCTTAATTAGTGGATAATGTGCAGGACAGCAGGACAGCTCAGAGGGCAGCCGCACACCCAGGGTTGGGGGTTTGAGTCTCGCCTCTGCTCAGAATGTGCCCAGTTTGCATGTCCTCCCGTGATACATGCCGTTAGGCTAATTGGCACTAAAATGCCTGTAGTGATTGTGTGCATATGCCCGGGACTGGCATTGCACAAAGGGTGCACCACCGGCCACGTGCCCTGTGCTGCCCCCCACAGCCCTGACCAGGATAATGGTTAGAATATGCATAGATATGTGGATGAGTGATTCGAAGACAGGGCTGCACTGGGGGCCCAGCAGACGGGACTTACTATCCTAACGAGCCAGGACAGGGTGCAGATGGCTGTGGAGTAGTGCGAGGTGTAGTGGCAGGGGGGGATCTGCTCGTCCTCCCAGCTCTCGTAGCGCTCGGCAAAGAAGACGGCCCTCTTCGGGTTCAGAGCTCCGATTGGCTGGAATGGAAGACAGACAGGAAAGTGAGAGCATTGCATGGCGTGATCACTCTCGATGCTCTGCGTGCAGCAGCACTCAAACTACACAAGATCAATCAGACATGATTAACCAAATCCGAACATAAGTTCTGGCTTCAGCCAGCCCTATAAAAGGGGCATGATGGTTTCAGTCTCTCTATGGCTTTGTTTTTAGCTGATCTCCTCTAAACTCTGACTATTACCTGTATTATCCTGTATTTTACTAACAGATCTGTGTAATTATCATTACAATTTTAAATAAGCTACTTTCAGTTGTACGTCCCCATAAAGAAAACATAAACAGAGGCATGGGGATCTCCTAGCTATGTGCACTCGGACTTATGTGCGTGTCTTGACAGAGATTCTGTAGATAGTTATTTGTAATCCTCGTGGATTAACCCTGACTGACCCGCTTTATGCATGGGGCTTCCTCAATACCAAACAGGATCTTTGTCCAGCAGCCTGGAATCTGTCTGCTTAGAGACAAAGCCGGGGTAGAAGCCGCAGGGTGACAGCTCCTCGTCACCCCGGCAGCACAGCCGCATATGGCCACGGCGAAACATCACGCATCACCCTGTTGCCCCGGAGACCTGCAGACAGACCGACCCTCTGGAGCTCTGAGGTGAGCCGACAGGGATGCTGGCTCACATGTGGACCAGGATGAGCAGAGCCTGGACAACGCCGTGCTCCGGGGAAAAGGACGCACAAGCACTCTATCACCGCCCTTCAGGCCACAAGATTTTGTCCGAAGACTCAACGTCATCCACAGGCCTTTGAATACCACTTGTACTCATTTTTCAGCAACTTCAGCAACTTATATTCTCCTGAGACCAAAGGAAAAAAGGTATACTTCAATTTTAGGTTATTTGTCTTTGGAGGAAATAAGACATCTTACAATTTAGACATTTTTCAAATTTATTTTTATTTTTAATTTCACAGCATGTCCTCTTTAGTGTACAAAAGGAATACATACGTTTCCTTACATCAGTGAAAAGATAGATGCAAAAATAAAATGTCCACTACAATGGACATAAATGAATGGGTGGGGTCTCAGGAGGATATCTTGACACTGCAATTTCCTTTTTTATACTAATCTCATTGTTATGTCCGTGGCAACCGGGTCACATAAAATACCATCAAATCAGCAGCGACCAGAACAAAGCTTGGCTTGCGATTGGCCGTTCGATTACTGTGTGATATAAAGCCTTAATTAAATACACCTAACCAGCATGGGATTTGCTCGCCCCGTGTTGTCAACTGCCTGATCCAATAAGTCAATTTTAATACAGTCACATGCCAATGGAGGCACCAAATCAGCAGGGGATGGTGGAGAGCTGGAGAGGGGAGCGATCAATTCTAGGCAGAACTTCAGGATAAGGGGCTTCCATCAGCTTCAGGGCCAGAGTCTCAAAAAACAGCAGCAGAAATTCAAATGATTCCAAAAATGTCCAACCATGTTCTGTCTTTGTGTCCCATTTGCACTTTATGTTGCACAGTATGCAGCATATTATCAAATCACTGTGCAAATGTGGTACATGAAGTATATTGTTTGGTCAATGTGTAAATGTAGTATGCTGCAGTATATTGTTTGGCCAATGTGTAAATGTTAGTATGCTGCAGTATATTGTTTGGTCAATGTGTAAATGTTAGTATGCTGTAGTATATTGTTCAGTAAATGTGTAAATGTAGCCAATGTATTTCAACCCAGACATATACATGTCTATTGATGGGTTGACAATAATTGACAATAATTCTTGAGTCTTGACTAAATCAATATTTTCAGGTAACTAAAATGAAGCAGTTTATGCTTAATTTTATGATCACAAGCATTTAATTGTGAGGGTCACCCCTCACAAAAAGGGCAAAGGTCACCATAAAACAAAGAAAATGATCTGGGGTATAGCGGAAGCACCAAGCCCGGTCCCCCAGGCTGGCCCCGGCAAGAAACCCCCCCCCCCACATGGCGCCGCTTTGCGTTTCTCCTTCTCCTCTGTCTCTCCCTTCTTTTCCTTAACGACCATCCACAGCGACATCGAACACGACGTTCCAAGAGATTTACGAGGTGATAATAGGCTGGCGTGTGGAGCCCAGGGCCGCTCTGATTGGACAGAGGGTCTGCAGGAAGTCTCTCACACCCCCGATGGAAATGGTCTAGAGTGAAACAGGCCATCTGCCTAATGGGGAACTTAAAAATCACTTAAATTATGGGAATATTGCTTTTGCTGGTTATTTAACCAACCAGCTTTTCTTTGACTGGGGCCAGCCACACAGCTAAAGCCTGCCTGATTTCCTGTCATTTCTGCTTCCTGGAGAATCCAACACTTGCTCAGGAGTGACAAACATAGACACAATTAAGCTGATTTACTATTATCGGGGAGGTGGGGCTTTATACAGCATAAATGGGAGCCATAAAGCTACAGAAAACCATTTTAATTTAATTACAGATTAGGAGACACAAGATGCCGCTGGTTGTAACTGCTTGCTGGTTGGAATGCACACTCAAACATGCGTGATTAGCCTTAACTGACATTTACCTGTCGGCTAAACACATCATTGGGCACTGGAACATGGAGCCAAAATGATGTGTGAAATACTGCACCCAAAATGACAAGCAGCAGAGTCCCTTCGCTTAAAGAGAACACTGAGTTCTGTTTGGGTGTCAAATCCTTTTCCAGTGAATTTCTTCAAAAATATTATTCCTAAACTCTGATCAGGTGAAAGCATTAAAAAGCTTTTATGACCATCTGTACCAAATATTTCCAGTGAACACAGCCATCTTCCATATCCACTCACCCAGTGCAGAGTCCCAGTGAACCCAATGTTGCACACCACAACTATTTATATTCCAGTTTTCCTCTGGAAAGAACACACAAACTGCACACACAGAGCAGGGGGTGGGAATCAAACCCACATCCTTGGTGGGGGGACCCCCAGAGCTGCTGCCTAAGTAATGCCATTGCTGGACTGAGGGAGACACTGTGACCTCACATTTCCAGCATTGTAGATTGAAATCCCCAACCCTCATGTTCTCCTGGTGCAGGATTCTACACACGCTCCGTCTCCCCCTACAGTCCGAAAGCACACAGTACGGTGAACAGGTGTCTCTAATTGTGACCTTGTGACTCCATGTGTGTGACTCCAGGGCATCCCCTGCCTGGTGCCCAGTGGATTCTGGGATAGCCCCCCGACTCCCTCCAGTGATGTGCTGGATAAACGCTTATGAAAGATGGATGGACGAGTGGATAGCTTCACTTTTTTTTTTTTTTTTAAACAAAACCATGTAAAAGGCATAATTCCCTGTGATTCCTGATATGTGCCTCTTTTCCCTGTGGGACGTACTGCAGTGGTTTGTTTTTCCAGAGTAAATTGAATTACGGGGCTCACGCTGGGAGAGAAGCCACGCGGAGCTTCAGTCGAGGGAGCCGTCACGTCAGAATGCCAAAGACGAGGCCCTGCCGAGATGGTGGGGGGGGGGGACTTCCTGCAATAAAGTGGCACAGGGGCGGTTCTCTAAGAACTTCCCAGGGTGCATCTGTCTTAGGCACCCGCTCTTGGGGCAGAAGGACGTGATTGGTGGTGACATTGAAAAATGAGCGGACCGATAAACCAGAGGACTGGGAAGGGTCTTGCCCAGAGAAACACAGGCATTGCTTTGTAAACCTCGCTTCATCTCGGGAACGGTCGAAGCTGACAGTCAGCGTCCCTCTCGCTCCTGTTGGTCAGCACTGGGGGGAGAGGCAGGCACTGACCTCCATATTCACAGCATTCCTGTTACTGAAACTACATCTTGGGGATGTGCGGCTCAGTGGGTTTAGACGCTGTGTCTGTGATCAGATGGTCGCTGATTCAAGTCCCAGGGTCGGCGGGCGATGTCACCGTTGGACCCTTGAGAGACCCCCTACACCCCCTTTCTTATCGCTATGGATAAAAGTGTTTGGTAAACAAAATAAAATATTGTAGAAATATTCACCGAACTACACCGGCCTGCAGACTTCTGCATTCAGTAATTTCTGCATATTACGTTATATTTTATGTCAGTTTAGGCTTTTTGTTTCTCTTAACACAGGAGACAGCATCCCCCCCCCAACAGGCAGCACTGCATATTGCAGCTCACTCATAAGGCTCTGGTAATTAGGCTTCCGGCCTGTTATCCATTTGACTGCGTCATGCCGGGAAGCTGCCTTGACAGGTACACACATAATGTCCTGTCATAGCGGAATCAAAGGCGCGGGAAAGAGCAGCACCGAAAGCTGCCGGAGCGCCTGACTGGGCATGCCCAGAACCGAGCGGTGCTAGCGTACGGCCGCGTGCACACGCACGGCGCCAATTAGGAGCTGTCTTGTTGACTACTTCCTTGTCCGCGAGCCGCCTGCCAGTTGAGATAGAATAATCGTTTGGGAAATATCTAACGGGCTGGTTTGGCGCGTTACGAAACACAGAGATACCCAACGCTTGCGGGCCCTGCATGCGGTTTGGCTGCGTTCGTCAGGCCTCGCGAGGGCATAGGCGTGTGAAAGTATGCGGGCGTGGATGTGTGAGAGACGCCGGTGATCAGAGCTGGAGGACACTGACTACAGCTCCACCCCTTGGCCACTTCCTGCTCAGGAGTCACATGACCTCCCCACCCCCAGGCAGACTATTGGCATTTGCCTTGCGTGAGAAGCTCCAATGAATCAGGGAGTAGAACTAAGTGACATGCAGGTTTTCAGGTGAATCTCCCCCGGACCACGGCACATGCCCAGCCCACGCCAGACACCGCCCACTAAGCTGCTCACACTCCCCAAAAACCTCTTGCACACGCCATGAAATGCCAAATACATAGTCCTCAAACAGCCTCCTGATCCGCCATAAGCGCCATGCCGCAGAGCCGAGGCACCCCCCTGCAGGGAATGGTACAGTCCTTTCCTGCCAAATTAGCGATGAACTTTCGGGAGTGGAGTGCCCCTGGGCTCCAAGGACAACCGTCAGGGGAAGCTGGACCCGCAAACTCATGCTAATGAAGGCAGCTCCGAGCTGTAAACAGCGTGGCAGGATGTTCCCGGAATATATTACAATACATAACTGTCTCTCCAGGACCAGGGGCTGGCCTCTGACTGCCTGCGGCGCTGCGGGGTGCAGCCAGAGCAGAGAGGAAGGCACACCGGTGCAGAACCGCCAGCCACGCATGCCGCATGAAGAGCCGTCCTGGGTCAGCGCTCCGCTTCACGTACAACCAACCCCATACTTCAAAGAGCAGAGCTGACTGCATAAGCCACGCAGACGTGCTGCTGGTGTCCGTCTTCGGGCATTGCGGGGGTCAGGCTGGTGTTGGTGGTGATAAAGGTGGGCGGGGTTACCGCTCACGGGCCACAACAAACAGGCAGGGTGCACTGGCACATCACGACCCTGCCTGAGGAACAAACACCCATCAATGTGTCGCGGGGGGGCGGAGTAGAGTCACGCCTGCTCTGCTGTTTCCCATGGACAGCCACAGAAGGGCCCATCCGCCTCCCCTCCTCCTCTTCCTCTGCCCAAACGCAGGCTGTCAATTTTGCTGTTAATACCCCGACCCTGCAGCCTTCACTTGTCTTTGCATTTTACACGGATTTCTCCCTCCTCCTCACACCTTCATGCTCCGTCCCGCCTCCGGGTGCTTTCAGGCTAGAGTGTGGCGCCATTCGGGTTTGCCGACAGCCCGGCAGCGGGAACACATTAGCCGCACGTTTCAGGAAAAGGAGCTTTTTTATCCCCCTCAAGTGTTTCCCTGCACGGTAGGCTTGTGGTGGAGGGAAAGAGAGGGAAACAGAGGGAGGGCGAGAGGGGGCAATCTTTCAGACAGGATTGTGAGCGTTTTCAGGTCATCGAAAGAGAGCTGGGGCATGCCAGTGAGGTCCACATGCCTCAGAGAGTAAATCTCCCAGCAATCCCTCAGTCTGGAGTTATGCAGTCTATACCACAGTGTATATGAGGCGTAAAGAGGGTGTGTGTGTGGGGGGGCTCGATGGTCTCCCTCTCTCATTGGGATCATACCACTGTAACAGCCTCTATGTACAATGGAAACTACATTTATCACCTTATTTTATATTTTCTGTTTAAGGATTGTGGTAATACACAGAAAACTCCTGTCTGAGGAAAGGAGTTTGATGAAGTCTGAGGTATCCATCAATAAAAGCACATTATTTAATACTTTTCCTTATGATTCCATACTTTTCACACATTGTTGGTTTGACAATAGGTTTTAGACTAGTCAACCTGAAAAGTGTATAGTGTGTGTGTATGTGTGCGTGTGTGTACTGTATGTGTGTGAGTATGTGCATATATGTGCGCGTGCATGTGTATGTGTGTCAGTATGTGCATATATGTGCGTGTGCATGTGTATGTGTGTATGTGCATATATGTGCGCGTGCATGTGTATGTGTGTCAGTATGTGCATATATGTGCGTGTGCATGTGTATGTGTGTATGTGCATATATGTGCATGTGTATGTGTGTGAGTATGTGCATATATGTGCGCGTGCATGTGTATGTGTGTGAGTATGTGCATATATGTGCGCGTGCATGTGTATGTGTGTGAGTATGTGCATATATGTGCGTGTGCATGTGTATGTGTGTGAGTATGTGCATATATGTGCATGTGTATGTGTGTGTGTGTGTATGTGTGTGAGTATGTGCATGTGTGTGTGTGTTCATGTGTATGTGTATACACACACCCACTCACACACATATGTTTACTCAGATTATGTTCATGCATACAATGCGGGAGTCATTTAATACTTTGCCCAGAGAAACTGTGCAATAGATACTGCATCCGTCCCACTACATGTAATAAATCTGATATATATACGTATCTGATTACTATGTACTGTATGGTCTGGGAAAAAGCCCTTCATGTAGAAATCAATGCAGTCAGTAATATTTAATATGTCTACATGTTTATTTATTATTTTGTATTTCATTCTTTATTTTACTTTTATTCTATGTATTGTTTTTTGTACTTCAGTGTTGAATATATGTTTAATTGAATATGTCATTCCACAACCAGCACCAAAATAAATTCTTTGTACTTTTTATATTTGGTGAATAAAACAGTCTAATTTATCTGCAGAACTTCTACAATCTAGGTGTTTGAATATGTGTGTGTGTGTGTATATATATATATATATATTTGCTGATACTGGCAAACCTGGTCCCTGATCTATTCTATCTGACAACATTCCTGTAAGGTGTATCTATGCCCAAATCACAGGTTACGTGTCACCTTGCTGAATATAGATATCGATACTGAGATGGTACATTTATTACCAGAGAGAATATTTAAAACAAATAAGTGGTTGAACGAGCCTGAAAAAAACACAGAAAAGTACAAAAACAGAGAGAACAGCTATGTGACCTGATTCGGTTCTGGACCGGCCCGCCCCAACAAAATATGTGATGCTAGTTGATGCTACTGCTGTTCCTGTGATGCTGCAGCTTTCGCTTTGCGGGTAAATGTCACCCTGCTAGCTGTTTGCTCACCCTGCTCTAGCGTCCCATTTGTACTTCAGCTTTGTCTAACCTTCGCTCCCTGTGCAGAGGGGGGGGGGGGGGGGGGGGGCATCACAGAGTACCTTGGATAGGTCCCGGAAGTTGCCCGGCAAGGTGAGGTCCAGCTCCTCGGACTCGTAGTTGGTGAGGACCCAGGGAAAGACAGGGTACTGGTTCAGGTCATTGTACGTCCTCCCTGGGGGGTGAGAAGAGATGTGAGGGGGGTCAGGGTTAGATACAGCGTAAGGTCGTGACGCTCATGGCCCCCAGAGGAGTCTCAATAAAGTCTGAGCAGCTGGTGCTGTGAAAAGGGGGAGTGTGTGTGGCAGGGGACACGGCACTGACGGGACAGTCCCAGGGACAGGGGACATATCAAACACGTACTGAAGGAACTGTCAACACGGCCCAGTGGGTCACCGTCGTCATGAGAGATTCCGCTGCTTCACACAGCTTCCTGCACTGTGCTGACTCATTCTGCAGTCTATGGAGATCATCGAGATACGTTTCTCCTAGGAGTTGCATTTTACGTTTAAATGTTTCTGATTTCACATTTAGATTTTCATTTTGTTCAACAGCAAAGATGGAATATTTTCGAAAAGTAACAACTTTTTAAAATCACATTTTGTATGATAGTATCTGTGATGTGTGCAGGATGAAATATATACATATTTTTCTGGGTTCACTTAAAGTTACAGTAACCAAATTTCACATTACAGTGGAGCTGCATCACAAATTGGCGAGGGCTCATTGGCTCCTCCACCCCAAGTCGCTGGCACCGCCTGCGGCGTTCCACAGGCCTCGCTCCTGATTGGCCGACGGGTACCTAGTAACCATGGAGACCTGTGTCAGTCTCCGTGACAGTGCCCACATGCAGCTGCATGAGAGACACCAGATGTTGTGCTCGTTCTCTCCCTCTTCCCGCTATTTTATTTTTTAATCTCCCCTCTTTCTCTCTGAGGGAAGATGGGTTTCAGATGGAAATATTTGTTACTGGAAATGCAACAATGGAAGAGATGAGCCAGTGAACTGGGATGACGAAACAGGCTCTTTGCTCTTAATATGTTTGGATAATTAAAAAAAATACACAGAACTGCACACTGCACAAAGCCAAAAACTAGGAGAGAAAATTGTCAGCAAAAAATAAAACCAATTTAGAAACAGCTAACAAATAATCAAGGGCGGAAAGCTCTAAATTTATCCTCATGGGTGATGAATCTTTATTAAGAGCACCTGATTTTCAAAGCTGTATGAAGGAAAAGCTTTTGTAAATCCAAAGAATAGGCCTTAAGGGCAAAAGCTAAAATGAATATTAAATACTCTATTTCCTAGTGCAGTGAAATTAATATTACATATTCTGCCCCTACGCCTGGGTCCCCAGATGTGTTTGTCCATGTAGCTGCATGCCAGCATTTTTGGATTTTTAGAGCTCAGTCTTCATGTGTGTATATAGTTTCATATTTATATTAGTTTAGTTTCTATTATACAGTTTTCATTTTCAGTTTTCTTGGGGACACAATGACCCCACACACTCCTGAGAAAGGCACATAGCCTCAATCCAACAATAAACAAGGGGGCAAAAAGCTGAAATTTATCACCCATCCGCAGCTCATTCTCTTACAGATTCCAAATTCTCTTAGCAAATTCCGGTATCCCAATATGGCTCCTCTCTTAATGATTACACATTCTTGGGGCGAACTTCGCAAACTCTTGCCACATCTTGCATCATCATTCCCACTAACGTAGAACATAAACCCGGAGAGCTGCGATTGGCTGATAGCGACGGCCGGTGATGGAGAGGGACTTGCTGCAGGGAAATGACGGCGTGTTCATGGAGGGAAGCGCAGGGGCATGGAGGGAGGCTTAATTAAACAGGCTAACGAGGTGGACCCAAGTGCAGCGGCAAGGTAGTGGGGGGGGGGGAGGGGGATGACAGCCATGAAGATCGCGGCATGTGCCGAGGACGGTAATGGTGGTGAGATCGGGTTTAATTAGAACAACAGCGTTGATTCGTTGGCACCTCCTCGGTGGAGCAGCGTTCCCACCCGTTGGCCTGACAGTGCCTGACAGTGTGGGTCATTAGCGAGGATCGTTCTGAAGTTCACAGCCTTCTTTAAACCGAGGTGCCTGACAATGGTGTATAAAATAGAAGCAAGGGCTGAGCAAAAATGCGTATAATTGTGAGGTGAGGGTTAGCTCCTCGCAGGGCGAGTGACTCGCGCAGGAGCTTCTAAGAAAATAAATAAATAAGCTACGGAGGAGACACGATAGCTTTTAGCCTCGGCGGGTAATTACCTCCCCAGCAGCAGCAATGGAAACTAGTGAAGCGAACAAACAACTCGCAGCTACTCTTTAAAAACAGGAGAATGAAGCACTTCAAGGATATGTAGCTCAACCTCGCCTGAAACAGGCAGGAGTGGGTAAACAGATACTCAAACAGCAGTGGGTGGGGAGAAAATGAATCTTAAGTGCTCAGCTGAACTTAGATGAATTAATGAGATGCCAACATAATTAGCGAAAATCAACCATGTGTAGCTCTCCGCCTCTGACAAAACAAAGATCTCTGCAATCTCCAGGCTGCGCTGCCTGGGAGGTTATTGGACTTCCTCTCCAGTTACAGTCGTTGTTTAGGGTGTGCCAAACCTGATATTGTCTCCAAATGCTAATACAGAGCCTGAAATCCGCATGAGTATTGGGGAAATGGCAGAATAACAAACACAAGAGACTGGAGAATTAGCTGGAAATGAAGTTAATCAGGGATAAACCCAGGCTGAGCTGCGCCTACTAGCATCCCAGAAGGGCCCTAAGCGAATGTGCTAACATGCTATCATGCTAACAGGCCTGAGGACGCTGGGCGGCCTCTTCTCACCTGCGATGGTGTTGAGGAACATGAGGTACTCGAAGTTGGAGATCTCGCGCCTCTGCCAGCGCTGGGTCATGTTGGAGGACTTGAAGAGCTGCCGCGGGGTGGCCAGGGAGATGCGTCTGAAAAGCCAGGCTGCCACACTTAGCTGCTAAGCTATGACACGCGTAATGCAGAGCTCTGCTGGTGTTTGTTAAGCAAATGTGACCATGTCAGAATGCAGACTTAGGAGGAAAATGAAGAGAAATCAGGGTGGGGGGGGGGCACATTGACAGCTTCAGAACGCATCCTCACAACAAGTATTTCATATAAACACTAACACTAGTGCACATAGGTAAGCACTGGCAATGGAAGCATCAGATCCTGTTACAGGTGCTTGAGGTTCTCCAACGGTCCATTACTGAGAGTCTTCTGGAGAAAATAAAGACAAGTGTGGGCTTCTTTTGAAAGCCAAGGCCTTTCTTTCTGGATTTCATTATCCTGGGGGCCTCACACCCGTCAACGGGCGTCTGCCGTTATCCAAGAGAGTGGGACCCTGGCAGAGAGCCCAGCTACAGAGTCTTCAAACAAGGAATCAGCCCGGTTCAGTCGGGGTCAATGGCCACTCAATGCAGTGACAGGAGCAAAGGGATTTCCACTGTCTGCGGGTGAAGGCTGCACTGTTTGCTGAAAACGAGAGCAGACAATGGCAACAGAGCCGCACGGCTGCGCTGCATACATAAACTGCAGGGGGCGTAGTGACTATGTGAGCTGCAGCCTTTGCAATGCAAGCCTATTGATGCTTGTATTCTTTAGAGGTGAAAATTCAATTTCTCTGGTAAATATTGGGTTTGAAATTGGTTAATAAGGTATCACATTTAAAGGCTTATAGGTGACCACTATGCAAACATGATTAAAAATTAGAACAACGCTAATGTACAATGCAGTCCTCACAGTACTTAGTGCTAGAAGGTGTAATGTCTATAAATGTGTGTCTTACCTGGCCTGCGGCAATCCGTAGCTGGTTCCCACCCCCACCCTCGGTAAACCGTAGACCACCTTCTTAACCGTGGCCTGATCGGGGAAGTTGAACATAACCGATGCTGTGGAGACATTGATCACACAGTTGACGTTCACAAACATCCAGACGAGGCTGAGTTTCAATTGGCTACCAGAGGAGGAAAAGGGCAGGGGGCTTTACTTCTGTTGGCCATGAAGATCTCCAGGCCCGTGTTCTGCAACAGGTAGCGCCTGGAGAAGACTGCCCGGATCTCGCTGAACATCCATTTTCCATGCAGGCCCTCGGAGTACGCTAAGACCTGACACAAGGAGCATGGAGAGAGAGAGCAAGAGACAAAGAGCGGTGTGAACATATCCAGGCCTGACATAACGAGCACAAAGAGAGAAACGGCAAAAAAGATGGGAGGTCAGAAGAAATGAGAGAAGAAGTGAGACAGAAAAGACAAAAACGACCAAGTAGAAGTCACAGCAAAAGATCAATCTCACTTCAAACAGGACCGGCACAAAAACAATAAACATCAATTTAACAGCAAATGTAGACGTTCTGATTCCTGCACTGCTGGCGTTGGCAAGAATCCGCAGTAACATGAGTGGGTTGTGAACGATTTATGCGACCGTCTGTGTCAAAAGTGGGACAAGGGGCGCATGACAGAGCTCTGCCTGCTGTGAGGTTTTCCGTTCCAGGGGGAGCCTTGAACACATTATGCGAAGTGCATCAGCACTGAAGCCAGAGATAAAAGTGTAAGCGACATGCATAGAGCAGGGCCTGGCTGAGGGGCTGTTAGGGAGCTACAGCTGTGAGTGAGTGATGTCAGGGGTGGGGGGCTCTTCGTCCTCCTCCCTCGAGCACCATCAGCAGCAGGAGAGACTGTTCACAGGTCACACTCAGCGCCTTTCAAACTCAGTGAGGGAGGTGTGACAGAGAGTAGCACTCCCCCTCAAACCCCCCCCCCCCCCCCCACCACCAACACCCCGGGGCTTAGGGAGAGACACGTTACTTCGGGGAAGGTCAGGTCTAATGCTAATACTCATTTAAGGAAGCGACAGACTCGGGAAAGTCCGTGCAGGCCGGGATGTGTTAATTTCTCCCAGGAATAGTGTTTCCCACCACTGCAAAGCCCCCTTCCCCACCACAGCCTCTCTCTGGAGCTCAATTAAAAGCGGATTATGTCAGGATGCTCTATCTGAGACTGGGACGCCATTGCTCCGGTGCATCGCCTCCCTGCACAACACCCTGCCTGACACCTCAGCATCCCTGCCTCTCGTCGTCGCCATGGTGACAAAGCCTGGGCAGCCAAGAGGTAAAAGCAAGTGTCTTGGCAAGACTGAGAGGCCAGGGGTGTGGCGGGAGGGGGAAGGCTCGGCCACACGAAAGCTCGAGAGGCACAGGGAGTCGCAGCTACGGCAACAAACATGGCAACAAAAAACAACAACGACGACAAGGGCGAAGGTATGTTGAGTTTCCTGAGGTGCTGACAGCTACGGTGGAGCAGCGTCACCACAGGCCGCTACGGGCTGGGAAAAGTCAGCATCGCTCTGGATGGTTCAGACAACAAAGGCGCAGAGTGGACATAAATCCCATAAACCTTCACCTGGGTCACTCAGGGGTACCCATAATGCACCAGGAGTCACCTCATTCCCAGACACCACACAGCTTGGGACAGTAGCTGGCTCCAATGACTCACCCAGGCTCTCTTCACACACTCACTGCTTATGTCCATGAATACAGCTGGAATTTTGACTGAAGTGATTTACATGAAACAGAGGAACAAGACTAGGAACCTTCAGGCTACAAAGACCAGGAGCCTGAACACTCAGCCTGTAAATATCAGAAGCCTAAGCACTCAGGCTCCAAACACCAAGAATCTGAACACTCAGACTGCAAATATCAGAAGCCTGAACACTCAGGCTCCAAACACCAAGAACCTGAACACTCGGACTGCAAACACCAGGACCCTGAACACACAGCCTGCAAACACCAGGAGCCTGAACACTCATTCTGCATGAATCTCAGCCTGCAAGCGTCTGGGCATCTTCACATTCTTAAATTGACATCAGGACTGCACTTCTTTTTGATATACATTTTTAAATTCACCCCTTAACAAATTTATTACAGCCATCAAAATGTCACAGAGCATCTGACAGCTATTTTATGAAACAGCCATCAAAACCAAAATGCTTATTTAAAAAAAAGGGACAACTGCTTTACTTGCAACTTCACCAAATGAATCGGCCTGTAATTCCCCCCAGGACCCGCAGGACGACTTCAGCGCGCTTACATAACACTTTGAAAAGCAAATCACACGCTGACATTTGCTCCCGCGTGCATGGAGAAACAGATGGGCCTGGCTTTGAAGATCCGACAGGGTGGGGGCAGCGGCGCCGAACGGTGCTGGGGG